GTGTGTGTGTGTGTGTGTGTGTGTGTGTGTGTGTGTGTGTGTGTGTGTATTATGTATGCATGTTTTTGGACTCGTGTGTATTTACATATTTTTATACATGTATATATTCATTATGTGATCGGCTTGCGACAATAACGTTCGAGAATGATACTGACGGGTATCGATGGATAGTAGAGGCAGAAAAGGCCACTGCTTGCTTGTTATATTTGGAGCAAACTTTGAATATCATATATGTTATGGTCTCAGAAGAAGACGACGATAGCGACAATTATATCCTCGGAGATAACGATGCTTGAGCAGCATTTACAATTTTACATGACCGGTAGTTGCACTGGATATTTTCAAATATATTTTCAATAAAATGTTTGGAGTGATCAAGTGGTGAGATTTATTTTTTTGAGAATATTTGTTCAATTTCATAGCCTTCTTGATATTATTTAAATAATAAAAATACACATTAATTTAGACTTTAGTTTTTTGTTGTTGTTGTTTTCAAAACAACCTTAAAAAGTGTGTATGTGTATTTAAGATTTTAGGAAGCATGAATGTGTTTGTGGATTGTTCAAATGACAGAGGTGGGTGCCAGGGGCCTACAAATGGGGAAAAAGCGTTCCGGACAGAAAAGCGTTCCGGACAGATTTCAAGTTCAATAAACGAAATAGGGACTCTACAGCTACGCTTTCGGTGATAAATCTAAATATTCTGGAAACGTTGAACGTCAGTCCTCAGCTCTCAGGGCCCAGGGCTCTCTCTCTCTAAACTCTCTATAGTGAACAATTGAACATGCACCCGTAGCGACAACTATAGGGACATCACGATATAAACGTTTTTTAAAATATACACGTATATTTAATATGTACATACGTTTACATTTTACAACTTTTTGTTATTTAAAAAAAAGAAATAGTATTTGTCGCTACTCGCCTGCGTTAAAAAACCGACCTTCAAAAAAAAAACTTGGATCTGAAATTTGATCGTGCCCTTTTTGTTTTTTTTTAAATAAAAAACAAACTTAAAATGCCAGGCGAATGAAAGAAAGGGAATCAAAGAAGAATGTTGAAATGAAATTTCTATAAAAAAAAGGCTATGGAATATGGATGACCTACATAGGTAAAAAAATTCAAAATGTCTAAAAATAAAATATAAATACAACACAACCCAAACTGGAAGTGTGAAGCTTGTCCCACTCCCAATACGATTGGCACTGGTGCCTACATTTTCGAACGAATTCGGAATATTCAAACGAAAAGGTCAAGTCAAAGGGAGAGGTCACGAACACAGCAAAATAAATAGATACACTGAGGTGGGTAGTGACTGGGTGCCCATATAACGTAAAATGCACTACTGAATAACTGTTGTAAATACAAATACAATCAACTCGTATGAGGTCTAAAGACCTGAACAAGGACTGAGGGTCTGTCCGGTGACCGGTCTGAAGCCCCGCTCGGGAGGGAGTGAAGATTTTACAAGAGAGAGAAACTCTTGATGCAGGTGGTAATCAATCACTACATAGTCAGTAGTTGTACTCCGTTCTCAGTAGTTCAGGACTTCAGTAGTTATGAGTGGTTGGTGCTCTCTGTAATATTTGACTAAATTACTTTTTGTTTTTAAAACAAAATTAAAAAAATACATATATAGGCCCCAGGGTCAGGCACTAAAGGGCCCTAGTCCTCAGCCCCCAGGTCCAGGGCAATCTCTAACTAAATAGAGTGAGAGAGGCCCCATGCCCCAGGCCCGAGGGTCATTCGGTTTTTTCTCTGATAAAAAACCTTGAAAACTAAGTTTTTATTTTACGGCCATTCCTTACAATTATGTAGGGCTTATTTTGGGCCTAAAATTTAGCGCGGTCCGTAGTGATATAAATTCAAAATATATAGTTTTAAAAAAAATACAGTATTTTAAAATGTACTATATTCAATGTATTCAAGCCCATACGGTGAGTTACCTAAACAGGTATTAAAAACAAACTAATTTCGAGTATCTTGTCGTAAACTTCAAAATCATATATTTAGATATCTCAGAGAGGGTTAATAGTATATTGTGTGGAACTGGAGAACAAGAGAGGGAAGAGGCCGAGAGGCCGAGTGGCTAAATTCCGGTTGAAGACCGAAAAGGTAATATATAGAATGGGAATCGTTTTGTACGAGGCAAGAGACGCTCACAGAGACTGAGTTCCGCATTAGCTTGTAACAGACCCATTCACATCCCGTATCGCAGGATACCAGAGTGAGTGTACTTCTGGTCCGGACATAAGTATAACATTATCTACATAGCATCAATTCGTCGCGCACACAGCACAATACAGCATGCTCCGTTCGTTAGTGAACGCCTCTAAGGGGCGCATGGGCCGCAGTGGCAGTCGTCTGCTACACGCGACCAGACAACTCGGAGACAAACCCAAGACTGTTGAAGTCACTATCAATGGCGAGAAAATCACAGTGCCAGCGGCTGCTACTGTTCTCCAAGCCTGCGAGGCTGCAGGAATCGAAGTACCACGCTTTTGTTATCACGAACGGTAGGTGATTTCTTGTCCAACTGCATATAACCTGGAGTATCCAACTCGATATACAATAACTATAGGTATATATACATATAATGTATATATATATATATATATATATATATATATATATATATATATATAAATATATATAATAATATATATATATATATATATATATATATATATAATATATATATATATAATAATAATTA